CAAATATTGTACCATCCTTGCATCTGTGGGATGAATCCCACTTGATCATGGTGTATGATCTTTTTAATGTATTGCTGGATGTGCTTTGCCAACATTTTGTTGAGGATTTTAGCATCTATGTTCTTCAGTGATATTGGCCTGAAGTTTCCTTTCTTTGTTATGTCTTTTTCTGGTTTGGGGATTAGGATGATGCTGGCTTCATAAAAACAGTTTGAAAGTCTTCCATCTTCTTTAAATTTTTGGAATAATCTATGGAGGATGGAGGTTAGCTTTCCCTTAAATGCTTTGTAAAATCCTCCTGTGAAACCATCTGGTTCAGGGCTTTTGTGTGTTGGGAGCTTTTTGATTACTGTTTCAATTTCATCTGCTGTTATTTGTCTGTTCGTTTCTGCATCTTCCTTATTGAGTTTTGGAAGATTGTATTTTTCTAGAAATTTGTCCATTTCACCTAGGTTTTCAAATTGCTTGGCATACAGTTCTTCACAGTAATTTCTTGCATTCCTTTGTATTTCTGTGGTATCAGTTGTAATCTCTCCTCTTTCATTTCTAATTGTGTTTATTTGGGTCTCCTCCCTTTTTTTCTTGATGAGTCTGCTTAAATGCTTGTCAATTTTGTTTATCTTTTCAAAGAACCAGTTCCTGGATTCATTGATCCTTAGAATTGTGCTTTTAGTCTCTCTGTCATTTAATTCTGCTCTGATCTTGGTTATTTCCTTCCTTCTATTTGCTCTGGATTGTCTTTGTTGTTGTTCCTCAAGTTCTTGTAGGTGTAGGGTTAGGTTGTTTATTTGAAATGTTTCTATCTTTTTAGGTAGCTTGTATCATTAAGGATTTCCCTCTCATGACTGCCTTCACTGTGTCCCATAAGTTTGGGATTGTTGTGAGTTCATTTTTGGTTTGTTTCCAGGAACATTTTGATTTCTTCCCTAATGTCATTCTTGACCCATTCATTGTTTAATAGCATGCTATTCAATCTCCTTGAGTCTGAGTGTTTGGGTTTTTTTTTCCCCTGAGATCAGTTTCTAGTTTCAGTCCCTTGCATTTGAGAAAATGCTTGATATGATTTGAATTTTCTTGAATTTATTGAGGCTTGTTTTGTGTCCCATGATGTGGTCTATTTTTGAAAATGTTCCATGTGCATTTGAAAAGAATGTGTATTTTGATTCTTTGTGATGAAAGGCTTTCTATATATATCAATTAAATCAATTTCATCAAAAATATAGAATGCTTCATGAACTTGCATGTCATCCTTCTGCAAGGGCCATGCTAATCTTCTCTGTATTGTTCCAATTTTAGTATATGTGCTGCTGAAGTGAGCACTACTGTTCATGTTTTTGATCATCTTCTTTTTTTTAGATAAATCTTTGTAACATTCCATATAATAAGGGGTTGGTGATGATGAACTCCTTTAATTTGACCTTATGTCAGAAGCACTTTATCTGCTCTTCCATTCTAAGTGAAAGCTTTGCTGGATAGAGCAATCTTGGATGTAGGTCCTTGCCTTTCATTACTTTGAATACTTCTTTCCAGTGCCTTCTTGCCTGTAAGGTTTCTTTTGAGAAACCAGCTGATAGTCTTATGGGAACTCCTTTGTAAGTAACTGTCTCCTTTTCTCTTGCTGCTTTTAACATTATCTTTACCTTTAATCTCAAGTAATGTAATTATGATGTGCCTTGGTGTGTGCTTCCTTGGGTTCAACTTCTTTGGGACTCTCTGAGCTTCCTGGACCTCCTGGAAATTTCTTTCCTTTGCCAGATTGGGGAAGTTCTCTTTCATTGTTTCTTCAAATAAGTTTTCAACTTATTGCTCTTGTTCCTTTCCTTCTGGCACCCCTATGATTTGAATTTTGGAACGTTAAAGGCTGTCCTGGAGATTTCTAAGCCTCTCCTCATTTTTTTTTCATTCTTCTCTCTTCATTCTTTTCTGATTGAATGTTAATTTCTTCCTTCTGCTCCAAATTGTTGATTTGAATCCCAGTTTCCTTCCCTTCACTGTTGGTTCCCTGTACATTTTCCTTTATGTCACTTTGCATAGCCTTCACTTCTTCCTCTATTTTCCACCCATACTCAACCACTTCTGTGAGCATCCCGATTACCAGTGTTTTGAACTCTGTGCTTGATAGGTTGGCTATCTCTTTATTGCTTAGTTCTATTTTTTTTGAGTTTTGACATGTTCTTTTTTTTTGGGGGGGGGGCATTTTTTTTGTCTCTGTACCTGTTATGCAGGAAGGGGCAGAACCTTAAGTATTCACCAGGGTGGGGCAACTCATGCCACTGTCTTGTGGTGTCTATGTGGGAGAGGAGTCTGAAAGGAAACAATATCACTTGCTCAGCTCTTGCCCCACTTTTAGTCACTTCCCCTGCTACCCTCAAGCAAACAGAGCCCTTCTGATGTTGATTTCCGAGGTTCGGGGGTGGTTTGTGTAAGTCCTAGGACACTGTGCATCTATCCAATGAGTTCTTCTGTGGGACTGGGAGTTTCTCCTCTGGCCATAACCCCCACATGTTTTTACAGTCAGAGGTTTTGATAATTTATTTCCCTGTGCTGGAACTCCAGGTTGCATGGTCTGTCTCATTTTCCAGTTGTTCCTCCTGGTCTATCCTCATGCAAATGTGGGACCATTAGTCTGCCACTCACTGCCTTGCTTTGAGCCCTTCTCTGCCCCTCCTACTAGTCTGGATGAGTGTTTCTTCCTTTACTCCTTGGTTGTTGGACTTCCATACAGTTTTTCTGGCAGTTCTAGTTATTTTTGTTTTTAAATTTATTGTTCTTTTGGTTGTGTGAGGAGGCAAAGTGTATCTACCTATGCCTCCATCTTGGCTGGATGTCAGCCTGGCTATTGTCTTTTGATGTGGAAGCTAGAAAATACCCATGTCCTTTCTTGTCATCACTAAAGCCACTTTCTCAAAGTGTCAATATATTGCCAAAGCTGAGGGTCTTCTCTGGGTTTATTAAACTAACACCAGTGTCCATTGAGTCCCAAAGGATAAGAGGCTGGCCAGATAGAGAGCCACTCTCTTTCACTCTGTATCACATATAAATCGGGAACTGTCACCCACAGATGCATTAGAGTGTAAATTCTCTGGAGCAGCAATTTTCAACTTTTTCATCTCATGGCACACATAAACTAATTACAAAAATTCTCCAGCACATCAAAAACTATATATATTTTTTGCTGATCTGACCAAAAATAGGTATAATTTTAATTCATTCACAGAAATGGCTATTGTTGTATTGGCTGTTGTCATTTTTTAAATTCAACAATCTAAGGGAAAAGAGGTCAGAGCTCCTCACTATATAGTCAAGTATTGCATGTTTTTAAAATTCTTGAGGCACACTGGTTGAAAATTGCTGCCTTAGAGAGGAAATGTTGTCTCTCTGATTCTCTGCTGTATACCTAGTGCCCAGAACTGAGCACATAATAGGTGCTCAGTAAAAATGTGTTGAGTGAATAAATTGGTCCAAGATAGGTGTTGTATCACCCCAATGAGATCTGGGGATTCTATTTTTTAGATTCTCCCCTTTTTGGCTCCATTGTAAAGATATTCTTTATTACTTTTAGCTTCTTGAGATCTCTTTGGTGTTCCAGCCAGGCACTTTATAAGTTGATCCTGTTCCATTTTCTCCCCACTCAGATTTGATTCAACCATAAGCCATAACTCTGCCAGTTCTTTAGAGTGGCACTTCAAGGCACTTGTGAGCCTCCAAGTCTTTTGCTATAGCCCTTGGCAGGTAGTGTGTTCTGATTCTCCAGTTTGTCTAGTGCATATGTACTGTCTCAGGTCTGCACAGAGCTTGTAGGGTCTGTGTGTTGGCAGTGCTCATACCCTGTGCTCAAGGTTCTGCAGGCTCTGCAGTCTCCACAGGTGAGGCATAGCTCTTCCTGGGTGCCAGGCCTGTCCTCCCCTTCACTGAGACTCACACAGTTCTTGCCCCTGGCTGAGCACTCTCTGGTGATTTCTAACTGAACTTAAACTCGGGGCCAGAGCTGTGGCTCCTACTTAAAGTAATCACGTCTCGCTTTGTTGGACCTGGTTGGTGTGTCTGGTATTAAAGTCCTCTCAGGATCCTTTGAATCCCCAAGTTTTAATAATTTCCAGGCTTGATAAAACCTTTTTAAGTTAATGAACTTATGGGTTCATCCACACTTGCCCCTGCCCTGCTTGCTCTACTCAGTCCCTAACATCAGTTTCTCTTAATATTTGCCATTTGATTGTAGCTTGAGCTCTATGACATTTCTTTGGCTTTCTGGCAGTGCAGGTGAGATGTTACCCTTGGTTCATATGTAGGCACATTATTTCATCCTCAGCAGCATCTAAGTTTTATAATTTAAGTTCAAACATGGGACTCCATTAAAGTTCATGGTTGTGTACCTTCAAAATTTAATAAATGTTTACTTCTTAGATTAGATCAACTTAGAATTCCAGCAACACTTCTCATTTTCTCTTTTTTATTTCTTCTAAAATCTTCACTTCATGTCATCAATTATCTGCTTGATTGAACATGCAGCCACACGGCTCCCCCCAGACCTCATCAATGAAAATACTTCCACCTTCCATCTCTCTCCTGCATTTTCATGCAGTCCATTGAGTTAACTCTTCTTCCTGAGGCAAACATCCCCTTCCTCTTTCAATTTTGTTTCTTTGCTTCCTGATTCCCAGCTTCTGAATTAGGATCCAGAAACAGCTTACCCAAATAAATAAAAGTTCCACATCATACACTGGCAGTTCCCAGATTGTATAAACACCCACTCAGCTTTCACAGGAAAAATTAATCCTTGCCCTGAGAGTTTCAAGGTCTCAAAGCAATACAAGTCTCATGCATCTCTGAATTTCCATTCCAACCGAAAATCTCTCCACAGCCCTGCTATGCGTGGAGGGGAGACTGATATCTGCTATCTTTTCCTGGTCTGAAATAAAGATTCTGCTCCCACAACTGTGCTGTATTGGCCAAGGGACTAAGAGGAGGGACAGAGCGAAATTATACATGAGCCACCATAGTAATGAGGAAGAAAGCTTTATTTTTTCACAGGGTTGTCAGGCACAGACACTGCCAATCATTGTCAGGTGCAGGGGACCAGGGAATGTGAGAACTTGGACAGCAGACTGGAAGGTCGTCTGGAGAGAATGGGAATAACTATCCCTGGAACTTTGCAGCTCAGCCTGGAGGATTAAAATGGATTGTCTAGGAAAGGCTGTGTCTGGCTGGGGCTTTTCCTTGGCCTTTTAGATTCTTGTTTCCTCTGAAATCACTTGTCTGAGCATCAGAGTCCAGGTCATCAGCAGTCCCCAGAGCTGTGGCCACAGCCAGAGCCCCCATTGTCACAGGAGTCGGAGCTCTGGAGCCGGCATCGGTGGGACCTGCGGTGGTGCCTGTGGTGGCTCAGGCAGCAGCCACCCTCAGAGCTGGGCCCACAGCCACCCCCAGAGCTGAGAGCACAGCCAGAGGGGGCAGGGGATGAGCACTGTGCTGGGCTCTTTGGGAGGCACTTGGGGGAGGGGCATTTGGGAGGGGCCTGGCACTGCTGCTGGTTCTGCTGGCAGGACATCTCCACAGAAATTTGACCTGGAACAAATAAGACACATTTTGTCACAGAAGCTTCAGAAATTTCAATGTCTCCTCCCCACAGGTTTTGTCAAATACTATCTTCCATGACCAAGCTGCTTCCATGACCAATCAGACTCTGTAGGGAAAAAAAATGGTGGCATGGAGGGGACATGTACATTTGGATAAAGCATCCTCAAGAATGTCAGATGGACCCATGTGCATCCCTGACAGCATGCTCAGAACAAGAGTGGGAAAGAATTCTGAGGACCTGTGGCTTTTGGGGTTGACAGCCTCTGACAGGTGCCTGAATGGCTCCTTCCTTACCATCACCCTCCACCCACTGCTGTCCACTATGGGCCTCCTCAGCTGGCTCCATTCATATCTGAGCCTGTCTCTCTAACACCCCCAGCTGAGGTTCTGTATCCTTCCAGACACTCACCAGATGTAGAGAAGCAGGGAAAGGCTGTTTCTGAGGAGGTTGTGGATGAGAAACCCAGGACAGCTTCCTACCCTTTTATCCTGTGCTGGGTTTGTGACACATGGCCTGAGCATGCTGCTGCTTTCACAAGCAGTGGGAGGTAACAGCCTGGCACACCCCCAGGACTAAGCTTTCAGCCTTTATCCTGAGCACTTGCATAATATCCAATTAATGAGGTTCAATAAGGAAGCATAATGACTGTCCACATGACTCCCTCTGGGGCTTCCGGGGAATCTGGCATTCCTTTCTCTTTCTTTCCTTCCTTCTCTCATCTACCTTGGTTCAGCCTGTCTCGGGTACTTTTCTAAGAGCAGGGATGGCTATGAAAGAATTTTGTTCTTGCATTCTATTGAGACAGACTCACAAAGACAAATGAATAAATCATAAAACAATTCCAAGTGATAAGTGTAATTTAATGAATACAACATCTCCAGACTGCCCCAGTGGCCATGGCCTTCAGATGTAATCCACTCTAACCTCCTACACTCCTGGCAATGAGATGTGGGCAAGGGATCATGACTGGTGCAGGGCCTTGTCTTGTGGAGGGAGCCCACAGATGACCTCATGACACCCAGGGAACAGCATGGAGTTTCAGGCATGAAAGGAACAGACCCAGCTAGGTGTTGATGTACAAATAAGAACATTGACCAGAGTTGAAAATGTGTATTTTTTAGCGAATTTATCTAAACTTAAGACTATTGCACAGTTGAGTCTATTATAATTAGAATACAAAGTTTAATAATCCATCTATAATCTAAGTAACTTTCACTATTATAATAACATTATATTATGGATTTATGAGACCTGTTCAGAAGGTATCCAGCCATGTAATATGAAAAGTAGAGACATTTATTGAAGAAGATACAAGATACAAGAAATATTGTACATAGGACAATGATGCCTCAGTCCCCTTCAAAGTAGGCACCTTGGGACCTCAAACAGTTCTCCCAATCACCATCAGCTGCCTCCTCAAATTTTCCTGAATCTCATCAACGGTCTGAAATCTTTTCCCTTTCAAAGGTGATTTTAGTTTTGGGAAAAGCCAGAAGTTGCAGGGCGCCAGATCTGGGATGTAGGGGGTTGAGTCAACTGGGCGATTTGATGCTTCACCAAAAAAACTCTGCATGATACAATGATGCATGAGAGGGCACATTGTCATGATGGACCTGCCAGTCCCCGGTTGCCCATAGCTGCAGGCTTCTGAATCATACTAATAGTTTATGCAAAGGAACATTCAAGCTTAATGCAAAATCAGATGCAGATTCATTGCTCTATTCGCTCAGTCATTTTGAATTTGCAACCACACAGAACACATGCTCACTCAGTGGCATCCTCCATACCCACTGACAACTACAGTGAAGTCATCACTGTTGACACATGCTCATTCCAGTCCACTCTCAATGGCTGCCAGGAGACATCGGCTGCACAAATCATTTTCATTATGTTAAAAATGGCTGGACTTTTCCAGGACAGACCTCATGTATTTTCTTATAAAGAAAAATGTTCATGGCCTTTTGTTAACTGGTGAAAACAGGTTGTAAAGGAGCACACATTGTTAATTAAATGATTTTGAATGAAGTCTTTTTGTATAGGATATGTGTTTTACTCTTTAATGACCATTAAAACCTATAGGACTGGCTCCCTGCCTTTAGACAATTTTGTTTTTCTCACTTCACTCTATAACTCAACCCCATTGAGGCATGGTGATCCCATGAGTGAAACCCTATGGAGGACTTATACTGGGCCTTTGGGTGTTAGCTCAGGAGGAGGTAGTGCAGACAGTGAGGCCAGGAATTGCACTCTTGCTGACTTTCTCTTGCCTTCAGAAGAGGCTCTTCCCCCTTCCCACCTCCCAGGCCACACTTTCCATCTCACTCTCCTTTCAGCTATTGGCAGCCATTTTCCTCACATCATGAGAACCCCACAACTAGATGCTAGATTGGAAAGGGGAAATTATGAGTGATGAAAGGAAAAACTATTTTCCATGTAGACTCTGTGATGAGGATGAAGGGGGAAAGAATAAAGAGAAACTCATTTCTATTTTCATCAGTTTTGTTGGATGGGGCAAGCTTAGATAATGCCACAACAATATGTACTTTCCCTCCTGGGATACCTAGAAAGTTCTAGTTTACAGCTGGCTTCCCAATGCCATTACTCAGTAGTGTCCTGGTTTGGATGATAATACAGAGAGAAGAGATGGAAGTGGTGCAACCATCATCCATGGGGCCCCTCAGAAGGTCGGGCCTGTCTTTGGAGTTTGTCCTCTCCTATTGCCAGCTTCCTCCCAAATTTCTTCTTACTCAGTCCTTAATTCCCAAAATCCTACATTTAACTAAATGAGCAATAGCTGTGGATCAAACACCCTGCTCAGAGTGTTTAAGAAGCCTTCTCTCCCCACTACCTCTATCCTACTAGAAAAATCATCCTCTGCTCTGACAGTTTTCATAAAATCCCTAGCTTCCTGCCCCCATATGATGGTGTTAATAACGAGGTTTCTTCTACAATTTCCTAATATGCACAGAGGCAATCTGAGACTCCCCTGGGGCTCTCTTTAGGAGTTGAGGATATTTAGGTGCTATGGTTCCAGGGTTGGGCTTGAATTGAAATTCTAGTACCAAGAAAAATTATCAACTGACCCGTGTTAGAGCCTGAATCCACATGGAATGTTTTCAGTGGTTTTAAGGAGGTAGTTTACATTCCAGAAATTCTAGACACCATGTAAAAGAAAAGCCAGCAACAGACATCCTCACAAGAAGAGACTGGGTGATATTTCCATGCTCCCTAATTCCCTTTCTCTGAGAGAAGCTGAGCCTCCTGTTCTGGAAGGCAGCTTCACACAGTCCTGTCCCTGAGATGAGGAAGGACAGTTTTGTGTTTGCTTCATTTCTTATTATTGATGAATTGATATTTAGCTTCTCTGAGTGCATTTTAAAGAAGAGGCATCAGAAATGAACTGTGTTCCCTCCTATATCTCCACACTACAGGGTGTCAGGCTCCTGAGGACAGGCTGCTCCCAGCACTGACCCTTAGGGAGCTCCCCTCCTGGTCCAGGAGGAAGGATGGGCCACGCCTCCCAGCTGTGCTTCTCAAGGAGCAGCTGCTCTGTGAGAATGGAAGGGGTTATGAAGAGGATGCTCCTTGCTGAGGTAGGCAGAAAATCAGTGAGCAAAAACTCCAGGACTAAAGCAGGGGCTACTGCAACAAGGAACCTTGGACAGAGCCTGGAGGAAGCCAGACAAGTCACTGCATTTCAGGGAAGGCAGGGAAGTCTCCCCACTGAGAGCTACCCACAACTTTGGAACTTACCCAACCACTGAGACGGATGTTACTCTTCAGCTGTTGTTGCCTAATGACTCAGGAGTGTACCAGGAGCTGGGTAGACAGTGGGGCAACAAGCACTGTCAGACTGGCCTTCACAACCATGTGGCACTTCCCTTTGGAGATTCCAACAAATTGAACAGAGAACAGAGATAGTTTGTGACTATTTGGATGGTCATTTTCAGCTACTGTGATTTGGGCAAATATATTTATTGTGATTTCATCTTGTGTGCACAGACTGGAAACAAACAACTTATATTTAGGTCACACGTTATATGAGACGTGTGACCTAATATATAGTGACATTCAATATATAAAATTATGTGTTTTTTGTAAATGTAAAAAAAGAGAAATCCAGACAGCAATTCTAAAAAGAGTGTGGAAATGGTTGAGACAACACTGAATTCACTAAAGAGAATTCAGCTAAAGGGGGGGAACATATGATCACCTAAATGGATGCAGACATAAACATTTGAAAAAAATCCAGTATCAATTCAGCATAAAAACTCTCAGAATGTGGAATAAAGGAAAACATCCTCGATTTGATAAAGGGCATTTACAAAAACTCTACAGCTAATGTCACACCTGATAGAGAGAAAAGATTGGCTTCCTCCTAAGACTGGGAGCAAGGCAAGGATAGATCTATGGAAAAGAACATGGAGTCCAACATAGACCAAGGATATATGACTAATTTATTTTAAACAAAAATTGAACAAAGGAAGGACAGTTATTTCAAGAGAGCATGCTGAAACAATTGAACATCTTTATGTATAAAAATGAATTGTATTGGATATCTACATACAAAAATTAACTCAATATATAAAATGGTTCTAGATGTAAAACATAAGGCTATAAAAGTTGTAGAATAAAATATTAGAAAAAAATCTTTGTGATTTTGGGTTATACAAAAATTTTTAGATATGACAAGAAAGAAACCACTTCAAAAAAAACTTAATAAATTGGACTTCATCAAAATTAAAAATTTTCACTTTTCAAAAGACACTGTTAAAAATGTGAAGAAAATTCAGTCTTAGAGAAAATACTTGTAAAACACTTATTTGATGAATTACTTATGTCTATAATATATAAATGCTAAAAGTTAATAATAAGAAAAGAGACAAACATTAAAAATGGACAAAATATTTGAATAGTCATTTCAATAAAGATATTGGATGGCAAGCAGGCACAGGAAAAGACACTCAACATCATTAGTCATTAGGGAAATGCAAATTGGGAACAACATGAGACACCACTTTGCACACATTATAATGGATAAAATAAATAATAACAATAGTAGTAATTGGCAATGCCAAGTACAATCAAGATCATGGAGCAACTAGATCCTCAGCTGTTGCTAGCAGGAATGCAAGATTGTACAGCCACTTTGGAAAAGTTTGCCAGCTTCTTAAAAAATAAAACATATACCATTTGCCCTAGAAACTCTGTTCTTAAGCATTTTACCAAGAGAAATAAAATTCATGTTCACAGAAACACCTGTAAGTCAGTGGTAACAAGTAACTTTATTCATAATTGCCCTGAACTGGGAACAGCCCATGTTCTTCAATAGATGAATGGGTAAAAAATGTGATACATCCACAGAATGGAATGCTATTTAGCAATAAAG